TGTGTGTGAGCTGCCAGAACCCCAGATGGATGACACACATAACTCTCTCACACACACACACACACACACACACACACACACACACACACACACACACACACACACACACACACACAGTCGTCCCATTGCTCCCATCGCTCTCACTGATGAAAGGTGTGTCTCTGCTCACGGGTCGTTTGTCGCGGGCATCTCCACGGACGGCTCATTGGAGAGTGCAAGGACCCCTTCATCTTTCACCGTGACAGGTCTCGGACACTGGGCCCCCCGTGACAGACGACCCATAATTCACCGGAGGGGGAGTGGAGCTAATGGCCTTGACTCTCGGCCTCGGTAATGATCACGTCCAGATTTCCAGTGCCACACACTGATGTCGGACCCCGCCCACTAAAGAGTGTTGTCACTGAGGATCAGATACAGGCAGGCAGGGAAGTACCTCACTCACACACTCCTCCCATGCTCATCAAGTCAAATTCAAACCGGGGTACGAGGTTCAAAACATGCTGCCAAGTTCTAGCTTGCATAAAACGAATACACAATGTTGTGTTGACTGATTTAGCTTTTATCAGTAGATATCAGTCAAGCCGTCCACCTCTAACACGATGGAGACTCCTCTAACTAATGGACATCGGAGTGGCTTTGATTATTTTTTAATTGCTCATCATTTTAAAGTACATTTTTCATACACTGAAGGTCAAGCATGTCCCACTGACTGAGCCACAGCTATGTAAACTGTTTCCCATGTTCCACTGGAAGTGTGTCAGAAACTGCGTCTGTTTTTCTGCAGCCACACTCTAAGATTCTTTATAAGTTGTTTTGCTGAATTTGTTTGTCTTTTACAAGCATATTGAATGCATTTGCAGCTTATTTTTGACAGATGTGGTAAAAGAAAAATATTTGGCTGTATTAGTGCAAGTAGCACACCGTTTAATCTTTGTTTGTTTTGTAACTGTATAGTTCCTTAAGAGAAGCAGAACAATTTCCAGAGCAAATTATTTTAAATACGACACAAACTTTGGAAACAAACAGGGAAAATAGTCTTGCTGCTTGAAGTTCATAAATAATAAGTTCATAAATATGAAATGTGTATATTTTATCAATATATAAAAGGTATTGATAATACAGTCAGTGGGGAATTTGTAAGTTGTGAAATCAAACGTTTCTCTGAGGAGATCGAAGCGGAAAAAATATGTTTCCATAAACAATTTTGGTATCATAACGGTCGAAATGCTGTTTAAACAGATTTCCAACTCTGGCTGACATGTTGCCCTGTTTGAGATTATCAGTGAAACCAGTTGAAAAAAAGGAACAATATTTGTTTATGTCCTTCAAAACCACTGCTTTCCACCAGATCGTTGACCTTTTATTGCTGTCGTGGTACTGAATTGCACTCCTCCTCAGTGACAAGTTTGCTACATCTCATAAATACTCATATTTAATTGATGTAACTATACTGTAGAGCAGGGGTGTCAAACTCAAATACACAGTGGGCCAAAATTTAAAAAATGGGTACTATAGTCGAGGGCCGGACTGGTTCAATGTTTATTGCAAAACTTATTGAAATGAACTTATTGCACATATTAAACCTGGAACTAACAAAGCTTAAATGATTGCCTATAAAAAC